GCCTTTTGTGTCGAACGGGAGTCAATCCACTACTCACGAAATGTGCAAAATGAGAACGAATCTTCAGCTAAAACGTGGCATGATACGCCTCCATACTTTTTCCCTTTTGTGCATGTGGAGAGTAGTGCAGCCAGGCCCAATGTCCAGGGGTGAAGTCCCATTAGCAAAGAGGATTGGATTGAACGCCTTAATTTGGCCGCGTTTGTGGACAAGTGCAGAAAATCGAGATTGAACTCCTTTCTGCATCTCTGCCTAAAACACGCCCAGATACAGGATCTTTATCCAATCCCCGTTGCTAGTAAGACCATGCTCCAGGAGGACCGTTCAACCAGAGTTTTTTTTTTTTTTTTTTCCCCAAAATCACTGAGAAGTCCTTCGGTGGGGCTTGTCCCACTCGAGGGGGTTTAGTTTCTGTTTCGTGTATTATTCAACGTGGTCACACTGTGGCCGTCAGATTTTCAGATCGGATAGCAGGCAGCAGGGAGCAGGGAGCAGGGAGCAGGGAGCCATGTATACTCGAAAGCAGAACCAAACCTTGACTACCGTCTTCCCCCGAACATAACGTGCCCTGAAACAGGCAAAATGGGGGTGCGTTGTGTTCGGGGGAAGACCGTAGCTGGGACATCCAAGTGGAACGATACACATAAGATTAGCATAAGGGTCTGGTTAGACACTCCTAAAAGTGCCTGTTTTAGCATAAGGGTCTGGTTAGACACTCCTAAAAGTGCCTGTTTTAGCATAAGGGTCTGGTTAGACACTCCTAAAAGTGCCTGTTTTTAGGATTGGGTCTTGGTTGCAGGCAATCCTAAATCCAATTTTGAGATAGAAAATGTGAAAAAGGCGTTAGGACGAGTCCTAAGGGATTTAGGATTCCCCAGGCAAAATCGTCCTAAATTTTCCAGTAGGGCCTGACCTACTGAAAAATTTAGGATTCCCACGCTTCACAGACTCGTTGCGTCGCGCAGATGGCAATGTTGACACGGAGTTGCTGGTGCAGAAGCGGTCCGTCGGGTCAGTGGTCGGACATCGGAAGTTTTCTGCGGGTCTACGCGGGCAACGGCCAGGAACGCCGTTGGCGGGGATTGGACGGACATTGGCAGGAATGGATGAACATTGGCTACGCATATGAAAACCAGTCGCGGGAGACCTTTTAGGATGAATCCTAAAAGATGATTTTTAGGATTGCATGTAACGACGCTGCACGAAATCCTAAAAATCCTTTAGGACTCGTCCTAAAAGTTTTAGGATTGTTTCAGGAGTGTCCAACGAGACCCTAAATTGAGAAATGGTCAACAAAAAAAAAAGGAAAGAAAAGAAAAAAAGAAAAAAGAAAAAAGGTCCTTCAGAGGAAGACCCTTTTTTTTTTTTTTTACCGGTTGCTAAGGCCCGTGGCTCAGGATACCGGTAGCCCGGTCATTCCCGAGACTCGGACTCTACTGCCGAGCCTCAGACAACCCGTAGGACACAACGGGGAAAAAAAATTAGAAAAAAAAAAACAAAAAAACACATATAACATTCTGCAAAAAAGAAAAATAAAACAAAACAAAACGAAATCAGACATTGCCAACGAGAACGAATCTTTCTTGATAAAGAGGAAGATTCATTCTAGAGAGAGAGAGAGAGAGAGAGAGAGAGAGAGAGAGAGAGAGAGAGAGAGAGAGAGAGAG